TTGGATTTTCATCAAATCGAACAATTAGAGCAAATAACTCTCACGCGATTGATATTCTAATATTGTACATATTCCGCCATCTCCTTTGTAAAACTTCACATTAAAATAGATAACTACTTCTGGCTTACGTACGGGAGCATTCAGTGCACCCAGGTCACGACTCTAGTCATCACTTCACTAAGTACTCATCAATCGGCCTGAATCAACCATTTGAGCCAATAGGCCCTGTGAAAACCGAAAAGAGTCCAGCGACCAAACCGATGACATCGATGACAACCACGGGAAGGATGTAGTTGATGACGAGAAAGAACGTCGCCTTCCTGGAGATCGTGATGGAATACTCCACGGCCGAGAAGGGATGAACCCAGCACGGGTCCACGTGGGGCTTCTGCACGGCGGTGTACGACTCTAGCTGGAATTCTGAGCTTTCCATGTACGATTGCAGCTCTCGGTCGAAGTCGCCCACCAGTTTCATCTGGATCTGACAGGCGACGAACAAGTAAGATGATATGGCAGGATGCATACGATAAATTCTTTCTGAATATTCTACAGACATCAGGCATTGCAACCTTAGCATCTCTAAGATCTATTTCAGATGATGATGACGATGATGATCTTTTTACAGTATGGTCACATATCATTCGCCAGAGTCTACGCATTGAAAGAAATACGAAATCATCGTCGAAGGTTTTCGAAAAGACCAGCCGCACGAGTTATAGTCCTTCCACCCACAGACAGTTGTTACAAGCAGCAAAAAACGGATGGCTTCGTTGCATCAAACGGACCTTGTCGGACTCCTGCGTCCAGGACATGAAGAGCATGGTGCACATCTGCCTGTCGAAGGGGAAGCTCTTGGCCTCCACGTTGCAGGAGGAACGGAAGTTGGCCGCAATCTCCAGCATCACCTCCCCGGTGTGATCCAGGACGAGGTACGTCGACAGGAGTCCCCTAAAGTATTCCTCCGATGCGCTATTTTTTTTTGCACCCACATGAAAATACGGATTAGTCTCAGCTCTCTTGAGTCATCGGAGCAAAGGGTATTTTTTAAAGGGTATTATAGAAGAAGTAGTTGGCTCCAATGACGGGAGGAATTAAGAGAATGAAGAATGGGGTTGCATCAGGAGAAAAAAATGCACAACCTTAATGAAACGCCTGATGATATAACGGACGCATGGATAGAAAACAATCTCTGGGGGGAGATGCGGCGAATAGGTCGCGATTGCTCCTGTTCCAAGATCGTCTCTACTATTTAAAAAATTTTCCATTTGCCAAAAGTCAAGACTCATATATTCCTAAGATGAGATGAGCCTGTAGAAAAAATACTTGTGAAAACCTTTGGTGATCAAAGTCCAGAAACTACAATGACCTGATGATCACGAGTGCCGTATCCTTATTTATATCTTGAAAATGAGGGACGCAGAGGGTGTCTCGTCTGACCATCACGATGAAACTATAAAAACGGATTGGATGGAGCCACTCGTGAAGGTGAAGCATGATGCTGTTCCTACCTGTTGTAGAGGATATCAGGAATCCAAGCGGCATCGTATGGGATTGCGATCCGAATAATTCCTGAATGATCCTCCGGGTTCCATCGCAGATAGGTGTCGTTCCATCGCTCGACCACCTCGACGAGGGTGCTGATCGTCTGACCCCTCACATCCTACGGACAGAAACGAAGCATTTCCGCGATGCACCAAAGGGCCTTTTCGAGGAAAAAGTTTGGGGGATGTCGGGAGGTCCCACTCACCAGCTGGAGGACGCGGAAGAGGCCCAGGCTGAAGGAGACGACGAGGGGATCCCGCGAGTCCGCAACGGGTCGGATCTTCGGATATTCCTTGAGCAAGGCCTGCTTCAGCCGCGCTTCCCCCTTGCTCCCGTCCGCTTCCGACACTCTCCCCGCATTCCATAGCAATGCGGCACAGACCGTAATGGGTAACAGCCGCTTCGTCCACATCGCGCGTTCGAGCCTCTCAACCTCGTCTGGGCGTCCAGGGTATCCCGAAAGTTACCGGTCATGCATGGTCATGGCGTTGCCGCAGCAACGAACAGTTATTTCACAGGGACTAATGGCAGTGTGATTGGCTTTATTTTTATTCTCGCGTGACATCTCTGAAGGCCACGAAACGATTCCTGCTCTGCGCATTTTGTAAGAGAGAGCAATCCGATCGATGCTCTTCCCCGCCATCCAACTAATTCATTAGGCATCCAATTGAACGACCTGTGGACTGGATGCACCTCTGCGTTCCGTGGATCATTTTGAGTCCTGTTTTATTTGACACGAGGGAACGTGGAGCGGCTTCCTATTGCGAGGGGATCAGGAGCAAGAATCGATCCAGAATCAGACTCTCAGACTCATGGCTTTCATTTTCTAGACCCGAAAGACGCAACACTGCATCCATCGTGATTCATACAACCATAATATCCTTAACACTTTCGCTGCCATACGACCCCCAGGCGGGTCGTAAGGGCTCTCTCTTCCTAGGCCATACGACCCGCCGGCGGGTGGTTTGCAATGCTTTGCGGGATACGATCTATGGACACCTTCCTTTCATCTTACGAATTTTATCGTCGCCTTCTGATGAGGTCAATTTTAAATCAAATTGGCGGTGTTTCATTTCTCATTTCTTTTTTACAATGTTTTCAATATTAGCATATTTCCGTATAAGGGTAAAGTGGAAATTACTTCTTCCTCATTTCTGCGTATAGGGCATATTACGGGAGTCTTTATATATAGTATGTACGTGGATATATCAAAAAGGTCCAGAACCGGTTTTCATATGAGCAAACTATGTGCAGAAAAACCTATGACGGGGATGTGCTCGGTAGGCGGGAGGAGGTCGTGGCTGCTCGTGAGGAAGATGATCATGGTGAGCATGGTGGTGATCCCCAGGGTCACCTTCTCCCCGCTCTCGCATGGCACCAGGAGCGACAACAGGGCTAGCACAATTCAACCATGTAAATTGGGTATTCTAGTAGAGTGTCCTAAAATCTATTCCAGCTTTCGCGGGATTAAAATCTCTAATTGCTTCTTGCGATATCTTTGAATCAAAGGCGTACTTTAGTATCTCTCTCGATTGCAGAACCTAAACGATTTCATCCGAAATACCAGGAAGTGTAATATTTTTAAAGACCGAAAGAGAACGAAACTATCGCGACTCCTTCCCAATTGAAATACCTTTATTATTCATTATTGTCCAATATTCTTTCATGAATCGGATTGTTCAGGGCATCTCCCTGAGTGGCGATTTGTGATGGCTTTACTAATGAGGAAAATGAAGCTATCACAGTCTACTGTTGCTGTATTATGCGATATTCCACGAGATGCAACGACTCGCAACTTCTTTTTACACATCTGTCCATTAAGGAATTGACATGGTTGTTTCACCCTTCTACTCCATCCTTTTTCCCGTAATTTAAATATTTCTGTTTGCTCGATTCATCACATTCTCGACACTAGGTACAGCCACCGGTTTTTATGAATCACTCGAGAGGAAAGGCTGAAGGTACCTTGTTCGATCAAGGGTACCAAAATATTAATACATCTGCCAACTTTTCCCTGATTTGCACCCCAACCGAGGATTTCAACTCTCTGAAGGCCACGAAACGATTCCTGCTCTGCGCATTTTGTAAGAGAGAGCAATCCGATCGATGCTCTTCCCCGCCATCCAACTAATTCATTAGGCATCCAATTGAACGACCTGTGGACTGGATGCACCTATGCGTTTCGTGGATCATTTTGAGTCCTGTTTTATTTGACACGAGGGAACGTGGAGCGGCTTCCTATTGCGAGGGGATCAGGAGTAAGAATCGATCCAGAATCAGAATCTCAAACTCAAGGCTTTCATTTTTTAGACCTGAGAGAGGCAACACTGCATCCATCTTGATTCATGCACACATAATATCCTTAAGGTCTTAAGGGGAGGGGGGGAGGGGGGAGGGGCATGGAACAGGCCATGCATAGATAAATACTTTCCATTGTGATACGCATGGAAAAAAAGAAAAATGGAAATAGTAAAAGGCGATCCCTGCTATCCCTTATGAAAGTCCACCTCCCATGTGGACTTGGAACCAGGTATATATCCCCCTAGGCGGCATTTCCTCCTGTTGGAACGATGTCCACCCAGTGGAAATTCTACCTGGCTCGATATACATGTGCGCGAATGGATAGGTGGATTTCCACCGGGGGAAGGGGGGGGGACGCCCACCTTGTTCCAAATCCACCCCTATCCACCTGTTCCTTTGACCAAGTGAATAGGGGGTGGAAGTTTTGTAAGGAAGTTCTCGTGTTACTTTTTCTTGGGAAGGAGTTCATGCAGACCGAGTACCATAGCCTTCCATGCGTCCTCAGCCGAATCTACTCTGGATGCAAATGGCTCAAGGCCGAACGTGTGTTCACAATTGCACTTGAAACGCTAAGTGCATGAGGATGGTGCTGTGCACCGATCGTTGTTATCAGTACTTATCACTGTCATCAGTACAATACTCGTCCTGAGTTCAGCACCCCATCAGAAATTGGGATCGAGCGCCAGAGAAACACGTCATGTTCGTGCATCAATTTGCTGCACCATGAAGCTGGTTACCTCATCACGGAAGCACGTTCAGAAAGACGTGGAAGAAATGTGAGGTGAAACCCATCTTTCACATCAGATCCATAAGGGTTACATCGGCGCGCCAGCATTGAGAGAGTAATTTCGGTCTTCGTGGTTCACACCAGGTTTTTCGTGAGCATGATCACGTCAACTTCGCATTTTCGCACGAAACGAATCATTCAGATTAGAAATATGAAATTTCCACTAGAGAATTCAACTGTATGTCACTTTACACGTGCAATTATTCATAAATCCATTAATTTTTCCAGGTAGCATGAGGCGTTGGGTTATCCATCATACCTCTGTATTCATAATTTTAATATGTATTCTCAGAAAGTAACCTAAGGAGGCTCATCTGGATATCAAAAGAGACAGATGCTATTTAAAGAGGTCGAATAATGTTAATCTGCTGTCCCTCAGATGATTCAAACAATTGTTTATTTTGACAAAATATCATTTCTGCTGGGAAATGTCATTTATTGGAACACTCGATGGAGCCAGGCGATCGATCGTCATTGCACTCGGATCGGCTTCGAATGAACCCATGAATATCAAAGAAATTTAATTTAGTCAAATACTTGAATGTAAAAATCCACATTTTGAGGGGTTTACTCCGTGCAAAATATAATTTCCTCCCGATTCTGAAGCCATTCCGTATATCAAACCAGAGTTGACTCCACGCCAGAAAAGAAAAAAGGTTCATCGAAATCGGCCAGGGAATCCGACGAGACCCAGCCGCACACCGTTTCGGCAGAGGGGACTTGCGACCGACAAGCTGCCGGTAGAACTTCACCGCGTCCGTTCTTGCCGGAGACAAGCATTCAAACCTGCACGGAACCGCAGAAGCCACGAAATAATTCCTTGCACTCTCGCGACGAATTCCGTCCCCATCGTCCACCATAGGAGCAACTCCGCCACGAGGAGTTTCCAAGTTCAAACTCGCAGCATGGCGAAAGTGATAACTTTTAACTGTTTTTCAGGAGTGTTGGATCCATCTTCGGCCTCTTGTTCCTCTGAACCCTCGCGTCCTGCCACCTCTTCCGCCGGCACTTCAACACGAAGAGAAAAAAAGATTAAATCGATACTGGAAAATGGACACAGCCAATTAGAGATCGAGAGTACGAGCTTCCGGCGAAAGCTATATTTCCAATAAAACTTCTGGAAGCTCATGAAAAAACGAATACATTTTGTTTAAATGAAAAACAGTCTATTCGTCAGCCGATTTGTGACGTTGAATGAAGGGATATTTAAAAATGCCTACATTTTCTCTCATGCAATAGCATATTTAACGAGTATTTTCCCCATTTTTCATCTTCGAATCGACTGTTTCCCTTTTCACCTTACCGAGAAGTTGCTGGATTTCCTCGCTGTGGGTTGTGGGGCACTTGGCTCTCGGGACATTCCACCAAATTCCCCGTCTGGCACTTCGTCTTCGTCAACGAGAGAAAAAGTTAGGATGCAACGTGGAAAAAAGAAACTGTTATTGAATAACAATTGATATCGGATTGGAGTTAAACATTGGAAGAGAACATATGGTTCTATTGTGGATTGGGATCCATTCCCTTTGCATATTTTCGTTTCGGTCAGCACGAGCAGCGCGCCCAGTTAGGAAATGAGAGAGAAAATCTAGATGAAAATGTGCATGCTTGAATGAACGAAGGGGGAAATGAACTGAGGACGGTTTTTTAAACGCGACCGCATTGGTCACTGTTGACCGCCTTTTGCGCGGCCGAAGCTGACCTCCGGTAACTTCGGTACCTCCAGTACATTCAGTACTTACCGATACCGATCGTTACCAGCGCGGCTACCGTCGCTATTAGATCTGGAAAGCTGATGTTATACACTAAAAGACTCACGGAGGCATTATTTCATAACCATATTGAAATATAAAAATTAAAGAGAGGAAACGGACTGGTCGCGCTTCTCACCTGATGCGACATCAGGTTTTCGATGGGGATTCCCAATGAACAGAACTCGCAAGGAATCATGACTTCGTCCTCCACGAATCCTGCATCTCCTCTCTCCTCATACAGCTGCATCCTGTCAACCCTGACGATTCCGTAATTCCACTCCGCTCTGATGACAACGAAAGAGAAATGGAGATGAATGAACCTGTTGGAAGTGCGATAATTTGGAGGTCCCTGGGAGACTTTGGGTCTTGCTCCACCACGAAGGAAGCGTTCTTCGGAGTATCTGGCATTTGAAGCGCTCATGGCATTTGAAGCGCTCATGGCATATGAGGCGTGGTTCCAACTTCCGACCGGCACGGCCGAGCTCGGATCTGAAGGTTTTAGGGTCGTTTCCGTTCGTCTATTCTTTCGGGTTCGCTTTTTCACTCGATCCGCGGCGACATGGTTGCGAGCGTCGGCGGGGACGATCCTACCTTCGCGTGGACGAAGCGGGGGAAAATCTCCGAATTCCCGATCCGTTTCCTTCATTTGCCAGTTCATTCGAAGACGGGCGAGAGGGCTGATCCGAGAGTCCTCTCCGGTCGGTTTCTCCGAGATGGGTTCCTGCAGGGGGGCAGGTGGCGTCTTTCAATCGTCGCAATCGGAATTTAATGCGGCAGCGAATAGGCGGCCGTGCTGCACAAAATATGGTGGCCGAAAACTGACGTTATCCTTCGAGTCGGCGGTTGTGCTTGAAAAAGGGTGAAGAGTTTCTTCTGCGTCTCCGCGCCCAGGACAATAAGTCTGAAATATTCACCAAATATTTGCGGTTTAAAGAATTTCTTTTTAAAATTTCACTGGAATTTGCGAGAGGCGAGAAGAAATTCCGAGAGGCGACCAGGCCTCCACTCACCTCGTGCAGATCGAGCATATCGCCCAAAATCGGCTGCAGGCAATATTGGCACTCGATGAGGCAGGGCTCCGGCTCCCGCGAATTCCTCGCGCCGGTTCTCGGAGGGGACCCTGTCGATCATTCGTTTCTCGAATTAGGGAAAAACTTTGCTCAAGGAAAAAATGACGGGAGGGAGCGGGACTCACAAAGGCGTCCGTCTTCGCTTCTCCCAGCATTTCCTGAACGGCAAACCTGGAGAGGGAAATTCTGTTACAAGGTGACTCACTGTCCATCACCTCAACGGTATACATCAAATGGTCACCAGCAATCAAATTTTATGAAATTGTCACCAGTAATCAAACTTCATTCAATTCTTACCTGAAATCAAGTTTTATCAAATCGTTATCTGAAA